GTGGGCAAGGGGAAAGAGGTGGAGGGAGGCGGCGAGCGTGAGGAAAGAGATGAGGGAGAAGGGCGTAAGGAAGGAGGTAGGATGGTCTTGGGTTGCAGGAGGTGGGGGAGAGGTGCAGGTGTTTGTAGCGGCGGGGAGGGAGCATCCGAGGGCAGAGGAGGTTTACGAAATGATTGGATTGGTGAATTTTGGGGCTCGGATGGTTGGGACAGAAGTAGTTTTGGAGGGCTAGCGGAGGAGGAATTCGTCTTTTTGAATTTATTGTAAATTGATTTCAATTATTGGATTAAATTCTGGAAAAAGAGAAAAAAAAGCTATATTCTCATGTATATATTTGCCATATTTTTTTTGTGGGAAAAAATTGAGTCTACATGTTCTAATTTAGTTTTGATTAAGCTAGATTTGACATTCGACATCCGGTTATTGTTGAATGGCATGGAATTTTTACAGATCAAATCAAAATCAATGAAGAAATTTATCGTAAGATGTGAATTAAAGTAATGTAACATTAAAATATTGTCATAGAAAATTGGCAAGTCTTATTTTTTAGAATTAATTGTGAAAATTAGATCGGCATTTTTTTCTCTCTTTTTCTCTTATCGGTGTCATATCAAAGTTTATGTGGGTAGCTGATATGATATTTAATATTTTAATTAATTTATTTATAATTTACTTTATTTCCCATTACTATTGAAAACTTGGTAAAACATTTTTAGATAGGAAACGCACATCACCGAAGATGTTAGTCTGAGAGGTGTAATCCTCCTCAAGTTAACTCGCGGTTATGACTTCTATTTGCTTTTAAACAAGCAACTGGATTTCGTGGTGGAATAATGGGATAATACTATTCTAAAGTTGAACATTTTTATCAATAGAAGTCTGATCAGGCTTCTTTTGGTAATTGTGCTTGAATCACATTATATATGTATAATGTAATAGGGGCATTTACATTCATACCGCACAAGTTTAATGTATTTGCATATCTAGTACCTAAACTTTCATATTACATGCATAACACTCAATTCTTGACATCATATTAAAAATAACAGTCTCATTAACAATTTTAAAAATGTAACATACATTTTCACGCATAAGTTGACACCAGTGTCATAAACATAACTAGCAAACTTAAGGTGGTTGGTATGTAAATTCACAATGATTGTGTGATGTCTAATCTTTTTATTGAATGTGTCTAAAATTATTCAGGTAATAACTAAAAACCAAAATTTATAAATAGTGGCACTTACGTGAATACTACATAATATTTAATCATTTACAAATCATATTTAAACAAATTCTATTCAAATTTTTGACATTACATAAAAATATCATTATTAGTAACTTCATAAAAAGCGAAATGCATAATGTATATATAATAGAATTGGGTGGTACGTTAGTAAGACTTTGTTTGACGCAGTTGTAGATTATTTATAATCTGCTGATAAACAGATTATTCTGATAATCTGCGGAATAATCTGATAATCTGCAGATTATTAGAATAATCTGGCTTGCTGTTTGGGACAGTTTATTCAGACTAACTTATTGGTGGTTAAATCACTGCATAGGGAAGATATGGAATACTCCAAGATCGGCAGAGCCAAAACAAAACAATAAAGAACCACTGCAATGCCCCAAATTTCATCGGAGCCGAACAGAGAGGAGGCATCTTACGGCATAGAGAGAGGGATAGAGTATGATTAGGGCCCAAATTCCATCAATAAGAAGCATCACAAAGATAAGAACACCCAGCCAAAACTCATGCAATGCAGCTTATTCATAATTTTGATCAGAACACTCTACCGATACGTTCATCAAAATTTCAAATCCAGTAAAAAGAAAGTTCAGAGAAGGCTCGAAAGGTTTTGCAACAAATCAGGGGTTGGAGACCCAAAACTGTGTATCGAAAGTTTAGAGAATACAAAACCACCCATCCAAAATTCCTTAAAAAATTTCCAAAACCACCAATGGTCCATCCAAACAAGATGCAAAGCAGCACAAATCAGAGATCGAACAACATCTAGCAAAAACACAGAAGGATTGTAAATGATGATGCATACCAGACGGGAAAGTAGGGTTTCGTTAAGAGAGCGACGAGAGGGAGAGCAGAGAGTGGATTTCTTGCCAAATTTCTCAGCGGCAACGAGGAAGAAGGCGAGGGCGAGGGAGACTGAAGATGGGCACAGGGCGTCTTTTTCACCCTAAATGTACGAACTCAACGCAGGACGCGAAGGAAGGACAGCTTATCGCGCTCCGCCTTATGTCGCTAACACCGCGTATGAGCGGTGGGAATACACTCGCGCGAACGCGTTAACCAAACAGTCGTGCGGCGTTTTCAAAACGCCGCCGCTCCCAATAAGCTGCGCCGAAGAGAACCTAAATCTATCTTATATATAATGTATATATAATAGAATTGGGTGGTACGTAAATAAATCTATCTTATATATAATGTATATATGATAGAACAAAATAGAATCATCTCAGGCACGCGATCCAAATAAGAACATTCAGAATATATTCAGGCCTGTGTAGCTCAATGCATTCAATCGCCAAAGCAATTCACCATATCTCACTTATCAATGAACATATATCATATATCGGATTATGCTAAAATGAGGAGAGAGAGCGGGGGTAGAGGGCCCTCACTCCCCTAATTTCTGCGTAATCCGCACATGCAGATTACGAATGTAATATTTCCTCCTGATTAAGGGCATTTGATTATATTCAGCTAGAATAATAACACTATATTTGACCATACATCAAACAAATCACATGGCTTAATTAGAAAAATACATCAACTAAGTCAATTAGGCAAGGCGGATGAATTATTATCAATTTACTCCATAAAATCATGACATTATATTGTAGTATTTCCCTTAATTTGACTTTTTTTTTATTTTGGAACCGATTATGTAATTCTTACATGGCATAGTCAACCCAAACCTATAAATAAGAAGTCTATCCACAAAGAATAAAAATGAGAAAAAAGAAGAATATAATAAAATTTCCTTCATCCTCATATTTTTTAAAATTAACTTTTTTACACTTTTTCTTACAAGCTCTACATAGGTGCTGTAAGACCACTAACTATTCATGATAAGTAATATCTAACCTCTTATAAATTAGTAGTGTCAAACCAACAATTTTGAAACAGTTTTTAACAATTAATTATCAAATTTACAATATTTATAAAAAAAGTTGTATGTTGATATGATGTTTTTTAATGATAAAAATTTATATTATTTATAACACTGTCAATCTCGAGTCCCAAGCCCTGGATGTGAATAGTTGAAGATTGCATTAGATAGTTGACAACAAGTGTAATTTTTTTCAAAAAATCTTGACATCAACCCTTTAATTCTTGTGTAAATGATAGTCTCATGGAAGCAACGTGTTTTATGATCTGAGTGCAGCGAAAAGTGTGCAAGGGCTGCTACATCGACGACCGAGTGCAGTGTTAAATAAATAATGGTTCTTACATTACAGAATGATGTGGGTAAAGAAGTTAATTCATGAAACTAATATTATGATAAGAACTTAAAATATAGGTACTCTCACAGGTAAATTAATGGATTTAGTTGATATCTTTGTTCATGTTGGTCTCTTTTGTGCTTTGAAGATATATTTTAATTTAATAAGTATATAATTTTAATTTTTAAAATAATATTTTAATTGTAAAAATAATATTTTAAATTTGAAAAAATGGGACTGAAGAGATCTCATTTGTTTAATTGTTTAAGTAATTGAGCACAATACTAAAAGTGACAGTCATCCCCACTTTACAGTAGGCTCGAATATATAAACCAATAAATTCTTGACATCAATTTGGTCTGCAAAATTTTGTGACCAACAATTCCCCTTTTTGAATATAAATATTAGAAAAGGTTTCTTTTATCTATGTTCTTAATTCATTATATGGGAAATCCACCATAGTTAATTAGATCTTAGGCAATCGAAGTCACCTAAGAAAAGCCTTTATTAAGATCAGGGGGTTCGTCTTCAAGAATTCAAAGTTAAGTATTTACAATTGGTTGCAGAAAGCTCAAGTGAGAAGAGCTCAAGTATGAATAATTATTTTAGAGACCAAGGGAGCGAGAGGGGGATGTCACATACTTTGAGGCGAACCACAATAACCTCCGAAACTATTCTACTGGCATTAAAATTTTAAAATAATGTTCTTCAATGTTTACTTCTATCATTTTATTTAAGATTTAGGGCACACTCTTACACAATATATAATTCTGTAAATAACCTAAGAAGTTAAGAGGATTTATGTCGTACTGAACGAATGACCTCAGAATCCTAAAAAGAGTTAGGATTTATGTCGCATGATGTACAATCCTGCGAAAGCTTAAAAATAGTATGAGGATTTACGTTGTACTAGACGAACAACATCGAAGCCCTATAGCTTTATGTTTTTTAGGACTATGAAAATTCAGTTGAAGTTTGCCCTTAGCTTCATGTTAAGTTTTGACTGCCATCTGAAGCTGTCCTCCATTCACTTGCTTTCTCGTCCTACTTCCTGACATATGGATTCAAGCTCTTTACTGGGATGGTTTTCAGTTTTGAGAAGTATGTCTGAATTGGCAAACATTTGTTATTGTTGGGTCGTTGAGGCTCACTGTAGGGTTCCTCCTAAATAGGTGACATATTGTTCTCTACCCTAGGTGTCTTTTACAAGTATAGTAAGTAACAAAATAGTAATGTTGTATGCGGAAAAAAAATAAATATTTACAGTAAAAAAAGTGCAGTAAAGAGGAAGAAGTTTGCATCTACCGCATCCGACATCGCTGCCAAAGAGTTAAAGTTACATGTAAAGCATGCAAGTATTATGGAAAATTAAGCAAACACCAAATACATGAGAACATGTGCACATTAAAAGTCAAGTGGTACATATATGGAAGATTAGAGCTGGGTTGTTGACCTCATTTTCGTTGAGGTCTAGTGTTCCTCTTTAGTAGCCTAAGGTCTAGCCATAGGACATCCTGTTGACTATTCCTAGAAAAACTAGAAAAGGAACCCTCACCATTACAAATTCTAAACTCCTCTTTACTTAACTTGAAGTTCTACATATTGATCCTAACCTCTAGCACTTAGTAAGTGGGGTCACTATGGGGGAGCTCAAGAAGAGTTCTTATAGGACTGTTGGACCTTAGGGTTGGCCTTGGGTGTTGGTTTAGAGCTAAGGCACTCACCAGCAATCTCCTCACTCACAACCACTCACAAGCACAAACTAAAATTTCTTGACTTTGGTCCATTGATACTTTTGGGATACTCATGTAGATTGTCCCCTAAACCTACTGACTCTAGGCTAGGGTTTAGCTAAGACCAGTACAT